GTGTTTGTAAGAAAGGAATAAATATTTTTGAACTTAAATCTTGGACAGAAAAGGTTACTGACCCTTTCAAGCCTTCGATAGTGCCCTCTCTCACAATGGGTGGAACGGAAACCGAGGGGAGGCATCCAGAAACGTCATACTAGTGGTTTTGCGATCCGGGGTTTTGCTAAAACTGGTAAAATGAAGCAAGTCAACAAAAATTGTTTGAATTGGTTCGGGAGATTTAAAAAAGAAAATTTACCAGCCCGCCTGGGAGGTAGGCAACCCATCGTCCATCGCTCAGATGGTGCTGCTGGTGTGCTGCTTTTCAGGAGGCGACGTACACGGTTAAATTTTTCAAAAAGGTCCAAATCCTGTAGCCCAAATTCAAAATTGACTTCAACAACCAAACGAAATATCTACGGAACCGTATGCCGTGGCATCAAAGCACAAAAATACGATACTTGCGAATGCCCTAAAAAAGCCCAACTCGAGATTTGAACGATAGGGGCACATCCCGCTCTTAGTGCGAATAAGAGTTTTACCTGGTTTTACGCTTTTGTCTTGTTTCCTTACCAGTCATTTGTTTTGCTGAATCGTCGTCTGCCATCATCAAACCAAAACAACAACCTGCTTGCTTTAAGTTTCGTGTACTTTTTTTTAGAAAATAATGATTTATTCATCAACTGATTTTTTTCAAGACTCTACTTTTCAAGAAGAATTCTGCAAATGATTTATTGTTTTGCATTAGGAACTACATGCTGCGATTTCGGTCTTGTATGCGCCGACGTTTTGCCTCAAGCGAAGCTCTAACCTCTGAGGGTTTAAACCTTTAACGCTCAACGTGTCTTGTTTTCAACAGAACCACTATTTAATAGTCGTTAAATATCAAAAATAAAAATGGAACATCGAAGTATTTTGACTGCTGCCCCTAAATATGGAACAGATCAACTCAAAGATGAAGTGAAAAGTGTGCTGGAATACCTCGGTCAAGAGGAAATGGGCAAAAATTTAAACCAAGCAATACTTGCAGTTTGTGGACGTTTTCTTCTTGGAGATCGACTGTTATCATCTACATCAGAGAAGAGAAAAGCTCTTCAAACTCTCTCGACTCTACTACGCACTTTAAATACCGCCATTCTGGAACGAACTGGAAAGCTTCGAGTTGATGCCACTCTCTCTAAATGTGCAATGACAGTTGCGTTGTCAGAACTACGTGATTTATCAAGTGGTACAGACAATTGTTTAACTCTTTTATGTGATGTTCTTAGACAATCCCTGAAATTGATGGAAGAAGGGGAAAGAGAAGAATGGATATCGTCAGTTAAGACAGAATGTGAAAATGCTCTCAGTGCAGAAGTCTTTGGGGAGGTGACATCAAATGTTACATCTTTGAAAGCAGAAGCTTGTTTGCATATGTTAGAAATTGTACTGGAATCTGTGGTTTCATCATATCCACAGAAAGGATCTGAATATGATGATGATCAGAAAAGCCCAACCAATGATCTTAGCCCTTTTATTAATACATGTAATATGAAATTGCATCAGATTTTTGTTCGAATGGTTCTTGGACAGAATGAAGGGCATAGAGCACATTTATTAGTAGTGCTTATACCACTTCTTGTAAAGGTGGAAGGTTCAGTCCAGCTTTTACGAGAGTTGTGGGATGCGTTATGTGGACTGGACTGTGATGAATCTGGTTTCCGATCCCTAGGAACTGTTTGTGCACTTGCAGATTTCTTCCTTCCTGTTGAAAATAGATCACATCGGCTTAAGCGCTTTCCTCTTGTAGACCGCCCAAAGTTCTGGCGTCTCCTTCAAAATGGAATCTGTGCCCAGCAACCTCTGGCTCGCAAACAAGCCTTGTACCTGTTAAAACGTGCTATTGATGAACTTGTCCGAAGTGGCAAATCAGTAAATATCACTGAGCTTGAATGGGATGTTAGTAGTGCCAATGCTCTTCAAGCAGCATGGCAAGACTTGTTTCTAATCCTTGAGGCATTAGAGGAGGCCCAAGCACATTTAGTTCGTCCAGTTTTAAACATACTGAGCCGGCAGTTAAATTCTCACAACACTAAGAAAAAATGTATCAGTCTTCCATGGATGTTATGTGCTTTCCAGAGAGTGTTGCTTCATCCAAGTCAAGTTATCACCATGTGGGGTATTGAGGTCCTTTTGGGACCTGATGGCTGCAATGTACTGGCAGGAAGAGAAGCCCAGACATTCTGCAGGTTTATCATCAAGTCCGTTTTACCATCACTAAACTCTGCAACATTATTCAGTGCAGACAGCACAATTTTTAAAACTTTGACGGAATTTTTCTGTCTAGCATCTAGGCAAGCTGGAGCAAAAAACTTTTTTTCCCAACTTCTACATGCTCTATCAAGTATGCCATGGAGTCCAGTTCCTCTCTTTTATATCTCTGAAGCCCTTGCCCAAGTTCCTCCTGTGGCATGTTGGAGTTCAAGGGATTTAAGGGAAATGCAGAAACTGGTGTCTGTCACACTCCAAACTCAAAGCATCATGATCCGTTCTGCTACTCAAAGTAGGCTTCTAATGAGCCTGACTCATCTTACTGACCCCCAACAATTAGACCTCAATGTTGTGTGTGATCTCCTTGCTGCGTTTAACAGAGACGAATGTTTACGCCGTGGAACTGAAGCTTGGCTTGGGGTAGTTCGTTGGTTGTGTAAATTTGTTGAGAGTAACTGTGCCATTTCATGGTTGACTAGTGTTATTTCAAATCCTAGCAAGCCTGAATTAGCTCTGGCCCGGTTAGTAGTACTCCTTTTGGATGCTAGAAAACTTGACAACTTAGATGTTATTGCACCCATTCTTGAAGCAATTGAAGATTGTGAAGCACGTCTTTATGCATCACAGGGTTCTCAAAATTTCTGTATGCAATTGTTAGCTCATCTGATTCAAGAAAGTGAACCTCTGCCAATACATTCAGAGGAAGATAACACCAGACAAATTGTAATTTCCTTTACCAGAGGTGCGCTTTCAAACTGCTTGTCTCTTTCTGGAGTCCGTCTGAAGAATGCATATGAAATGGCAGAATATCACCAAACAGAAAGTTTCCTGCAGTGTCTAGAAATTCTATTTTTAGATCCGGTCACTCTCCCTTTGCTTGCCTCACTGAATCTTGAGGCTCTACTACAGGCTGCTGTAGACATTCTTAAATCCTTTAGTGAAAAACCTCCACTGCAAGTTTTTTATGCTGTTTCAATTTTTAAATTTATTGCAATTGTTCAAGAACATTCTTGTCTTGACCGAGTGAGACCGATATTGTCTGAAGCTTTAAATGCTGTCTTTACCTCTGGTCAGTTAGCTCGGCCGTTAATAACACACAGAGACTCCAAACTTCCTCAGGAAGTGTTGGAACTTCAAGGTCTCTTAGTTTCAACTCACACACAGGTAATGGAAATCTTAATACCTATTTGACTTTAGTTTAGAAGTGATATAAAAATATGTCTACAATAAGTTTTCTTTTTCATTACTTAGATGGTTTGGGAACTGCTTGCTGCATCGCCTGAAGCATTTAAAGGATTAGATGACGATGCAATATCTGTAGTTCTTGATGCTGCAGAGGTTACATTAGAATTTGGAGGACGCACTGCTATTGCTCCTTTGCTCCTTTCATTAAAACACTTGTTATCCCGACTTCCAGCCAATTTACAATCTCATGGAGCCCGACTTTTAGAGAACTGTTGGAATGCTGTTCTTGACCTGAGAAGAAATGAACTATTTTGGCCCGCATTGAACGCTTTCATTTCAGCATTAATGCAGACATCTATAGTAATTGAACCAGGCTGGGCTTCATCACTATCTTTAAAAGTGAGAATCTATTTTCTTTATATATAAAGTTTTGAATGTTGAAGTTTGTTATAAAACAATAACATTCTTTGCATTGCAGTGTGGGCAAGAGCTACTTCAGCTTGGTGACTCTGTCTGTGGGGTTGCCAACCTTCTAGTATTGTCCTTACAATCAATGGCACAAGAATCACTCCAATCTCTTCTACTGAGTCCGCTAAGAAGCTTAATTGTTAGTGCCCTTATATTTGGACCTGTTCATCGAAAAGATCAAAGGTGGTAATTTTTCAGCATCTCTCTTTTCAATTAATTCATATATAATTTACAAAGAAAAGTATATTTTATATTTTATATTTGCTTCTCTTTAGGTCCACAAATGATACTTGTAAGTTTATAAAAAGTCTAGGGGAGCGGTGTTCAGCAAATATGTTGATTCCCTTGTAAGTGGAGGAATATTTAGAAACTTAAAAGAAAAGAGAACTAGTAGACTCTTCATGTGACTGATTTTCATCAACATGTCTTGTTTCTCTTCCAGTGGTGATCGATCAGATGCTGCTGTTCGTGCTGTAGCTTTACAGATCATATTTTGTTTAGGATGTAGAAAAGAGTCATGGAGAGAAAACATATCTGACCAAATAGTTGTAGATTTGCTAGAAAGAGATAGAGCTCCACAACTGAGGCGTAGTCGTTATTTTGGCGACTCACAAATTCATCGATTTAAAAACAGAATTCTGCAAGCTCTTTTGATTTTGGAACCAAGTTTATCCTCTGTAAGATATATGGGAATACCTGAAATTACATTGTAGTCCCCCATAAATGCTGCTTTTTAAAAGAAATTTTCTTTAAAGGTAACTAAAAGATTGCTTTTTAAATGGACCAAAGAAAACCTAACAACTGAAAACCATCAACCAAGTGTGAGGTACCAGACAGAGTGGCTCCTAGTACGTCTGTTGCACTCAAGGGCTGAGGAAGTTGAGGATTTCTTTGAAATATTACGAAAGGTAAATCTTCTCAGTAAAATCTAGTTTCTTCAATGATTTGGTAACATTACAAATCCACTTCACTAAAATCTTTTGTCTTTTTGCAGGGCACTGATCTTCGAGCAAGTGCTGTTTGTTCACTTGTTGGAGTTCTCTTTCACACAGCTTTAATGATTGAAGCATCCGCGTCATGGACTCATTCTGAGATTGAACAATACTTTCATAATGCAATGGAGACTCTGGTGCCATTATCTATGGCTCAGCATTTCAATGTTCGCCTTCATGCTCAAGTATGAGAAAATATTCAGTCAGTGGTTTTATTGATTCTTGTGTATCTGTATGTCTTTATTTTGTTTCTTTGATACATCTGACAGGTTGCCATTCTCCAATTATGGCAGTGTGTAAATCGCCTGAATCTGCAGAGTGTTCAAGCTCTGTATGATGTTGTTGTTCGAAGTGTGTGTACTAGCTTACAACAAGCAAGTGGTGCTGGTCACACAAGACATCAACATGATTTTTACTTCCATGCTTTCCATCCAACCAAGTACTATACACTTCAGGTGTGCTTAAAATTTTGAATTTTAGATAATACTTTTCTTTTGACTGTTTCTCAAAGCTTTCCTCTCCTTCAGACAATTTTTGAAGAACTACCGCGCCTTGCAAGTGTTACTAGTGATGAGTGGATAAGTGTTGATCACCTAGTGACTGCAGGATTTAGATGCAATGCAGGTCATATTGCCTTAAGAAACCCTGATGATCGACTGAAAGAATTCCAACCCTCTCCATGGGTGCAGCGGCCATTGGGTAACTACTTTTTAGTTCTTTTTCATAACACATTTGCCAATCTGCTATTTCCAAGATCAGCTAATGTGTTTTTATTAATTTAGGTACATCAGATCTGGATAGCACTGACAGCACAGTATTCCAAAAAAAAATGATACCTTGGAAGTGGATGGACCCAACAGAGGACTTAGTTCAGTCACTACCAGAGTCTCTTCAGCAAAGCAAACAGCTGGCGAGGCTGTCTCAGATGGATCAAAAACCAAGTCTTATTGTAGTGGCTTCACTCATAGACAAAGCTCCAAATCAGGGGGGCTTGGCACGCACTTGTGAAATTATGGGGGCAGCATTGGTTTTACCAAGTTTAAGTTGTGCACAAGACCGTGAGTTTAGGGCACTCAGTATGTCGGCGGAAATGTGGATCCCTATGTGTGAGGTATGGTCTCTTTACCAAAACCAATATGATAAATCATCATTTTATTGTTGTATTTTGTTGTTTGTGCCAACTATCAACTCTTTTTTCTATTTTATCCTAAGGTTAAACCATTTCAACTGCCCCAATTTCTTGCTGATATGAAAAGTTTAGGCTATACTTTGGTTGGTGCTGAACAAACTGCTGGTAGCAGCCCTTTGAATAACACTAGCTTTCCTGAACACACTGTTCTTCTACTTGGGTAAGCGTAAATGAGACAAAAAAAAAGAAAGAAATGTAAACAGTAAATAGAGGAAACTTCTGTTGGTATTTTATGTTGATATGTATTCTGTTTCAGAAATGAACGGGAAGGCGTGCCTGCAAATATATTACCTTTACTGGATCAGTGTGTGGAGGTTCCTCAATGTGGCGTAGTGCGCTCTCTAAATGTACATGTTACTGGGGCCCTCTTCATGTGGGAATATGCTTGTCAACATGTCTTTAAAAAAGAGAATGTCATGTAAAGTAAATTTGTGTGACCAATACTAAACAGATCTTTACATTCAACAATTGACAAACTTAGTGTTACAATTGGAGGGACCATTTTTAAATAATCTTTTGTTGGTCTCTTGTTATGCTCATTGCATACGTTGTTTTTATCCATATTTCTATTTACTAGAATCTTTAATATTTTCTGTTCAGTTACAGAATGTAAATAATTGTTTTTCACCTTTTCTCTCTTTGCTTACCAGCTAAAATGTAATTTTAAAAACCCTTCCAGACCCAGACATTGAATTAGCATATCATTTAATAAATTTTTCTTTCTAGACGAGTGATGTGATATAGAAAGTAGAACTTTTGCCCAAAATGAAAATGTACTGTGTGGTTCTAAGCCAAAACCAGCTAAACAAACTGTGATCTATCTAATTACTACATTGCTCCAATTCAGCAATACCTACTTTTATCCCCTTTATCCTGTGATGCTGCATGTAGTGAAAATTTAACCAATGCTATGTAAGCAATAAGTTGTGTTTTGACATATCACTGTGTGTTTATTAAAAACGGATATGAGTAATAAAACAATACAAGACATGAACTTTGCCATTTTCATGTGGACCTGTGTCAGTTCCTTGGCGAGGCAGTCCAAGCAAGATTGACATAATTTAGTTCACAAAACGGGATGACACAAAAATGTTGTAGACATAAAGTACATCCATGTTTGTGGCCACATAATCGTGGCATATTCCCTTTTGTCCGTTTTGAAGTGCTCGGAACAACATATCAAAAGATGGCAAAACTTCTGGGAGGTTCCTATACGTCTCCCACTTCCCTGTTTGTAGCTACACGATTGTAGCTACAGCCGACAGTGCCCGAGTCAGCTTAAACTGAACCGTCT